CATTTGTCTAAAAAGCAGTGTGTTCTGTGACCATGTTTGCATTTAAAGGTAGCTTGTTTTGTAGATTTGCTATTGCAGCTTAAAAAAAAGCATGCTTATTTAACTGATGTGTTTTGTCAACAAGCTTTCACTTCTCAATCTTTGTACAAAATAAAGCTAAAAGTTTCTGAAAAGCTTAACCAGAGCTTCTGAGGGAAGCTTTTATTTATTCAAATCACTCCGAAGAACTTGTGATTTCTCTGATTCAACTAGGCTCCCCACAACACTGCATGATCTTTTTGAGTCAAATACAATGCATATTGATGCTGCCCTAGCTTACCAAGGTCATCACTGCAGCGCTAGCACCCAAAGCTACAGCTTTTGTGGCTTAACAGCAGGTTTGAGGTATTGTTTTTGTTTTTTAAATGCATCAAAGGTCTCCATGCGTGAGTGGTGGGCCGTAATAAGAAAATCTCAGGAGAGGTCACCTATATGACCAGCATCAACTGTGAGGACTTTATTGAGACACAGTCATGGAGACAAAAACACACTTTTCCCTCTTCTCTTACGCACACACACTCACACATACAGGGTTGGTGCTCCCTCAACCAGAAAGGAGACTGAGATTGGAAATAAAGACCATCCTCTGTGTCTGAGGAGTGTGAATGGGAGCAGTAATGTTTTCAATTTGAGTTCTGAGAGCCATAATGGAGCTCATTCTACACCACCTAGATACTGTAGTACTGTTGGCCTTAAAGCCTTAGGATTCTATCATGCTTAACCCTCTCAATTCCTCTTTCTTTATTTTCCTCCGTGTGCTGTTGAAGGGATTCATTTGTGGAATAAGAAGATGGCTTCTCGTAGAGGAAAAAAGAAAATTGTGGAGAGAAGAGAATGAAGAGGTGAGGAGCAGATGAATGAGTCTGTGTTTGACTCTGGGTGCTAATTCACACTAAGTCTCCTCCCTTTGCATCTAAATGACACCTGCTCAAAGCTGTTTCATCCATTCACACAATATGAGAATTCAGTTTCATAGAAGAGATCAATTCTCATGGCAGCGTTCGGGACCTTTTACAATGACAATAGAAAAGGAACAGTAGATTGTTTTTTGTCATGAAATGTAAGCTTTGTGATTGCCTCAGCGGATTTGAAAGATTTTTAAACACTCAGCACAGAAATGATGCTGAAAGATTTACCTCTCTGACCAAAAGGCTGCACATGCTAGCCTGAAAATGCTGAAGCACTTTTGTTGAGCTTGAACAATATTAACTTACATGTTCTTAAACGCGGTCATTGACATTGAATTTGAAAAAAAAAGAATTGTTTCCAAGGACAACAGGGATGTTTCTAAAACTGGTAATGAAGGTTTGGACCAATATAGAAGCATGGACACATATCACACTCAAGGTCCACAAAGGAGAAAACATCAGTGTTGCCTAGCAAGCAGTGGTAGAGTCGTGTTGCTGCTTCATACAAGAGACACACGAGAGAGCACTGCAGATGTTTAAAAGTATGAGTGAAGTTGGCCTTTTAAACTAAGGATACAGAAGAAATATGGTTGAAAGTTGGACTGATGTGCCTTCTAGTGTTGAATATTTTGTCTTGATGACTGTGAACTTGTTGAGGGCATTAAACAGAGGTGATCTGGTTCCCTCAATGGGTGTTATTTGTGACCAATCAGTGTCTCTTGTAGGTCACTCAAAAACGGTGGTCCAAAACTGTTTTAGTTACTTAAGAAATATCTCCATACTGTGAAGGTTGGTGTCAAAACATGAACTTGAAATGATCTTTATCTCCTCCCATCTAGTTTACTGTAACACACTCTTCACATGTTTTAACAAAAAAGCCCTTGACCGCCTTAAGTTGGTCCAGAACTCTGCAGCGAGGCTCCTAACTGGAGCAAACAGAAGAGCACACATCGCTCCTATTCTGACGTCTCTGCACTGGTTACCCGTTAACTTTAGAGTTCATTTTAGAGTCCTGACTATAACTTTCAGGGCTCTACATGGTCAAGCTCCTCCCTACATTACTGAACTGTTAAAGCCTTATGCTCCAACCCGAGCCCTCAGGTCCACTCACCAGAACCTTCTAGAAGTTCCGAAGACCAGATACAAAAGTTGAGGTGATCGCTCCTTCCAGACTGTTGCACCCTGACTCTGGAATGATCTTCCTTTATCCTTATGCAGCGTTGACAGTCTGAACACTTTTAAAAAACAGCTAAAGACCCTTTTACTTAATAACAATGCATTGAACGTATATAGCGCTTTTCTAGACACCCAAAGACGCTTTCACACACTCTCACATTCACACACTGCTAGTGATGGTAAGCTACTTGTAGCCACAGCCGCCCTGGGGAGGTCTGACAGAGGCGAGGCTGCCATTTGGCGCCGTCGGCCCCTCTGACCACCACTAACACAGGCAAGTTGGGTGAAGTGTCTTGCCCAAGGACATGACAGCAGGATACCCCTGGCGGGAGCTGGAATCGAACCCATGACCCTCCGATCATGAGGCAACCCGCTCTACCACCTGAGCTACTGCTGCTTTAAAGCTGCTTTTACCTAAATCTTTTATTTTCTTATTTTTAACTCAAAATTTTAATCTTTCATCTGTTTATAAAATTTTATAATTTTATGACTTTATTTTTTCTGATGTTAATCTAATTCTGTTTTGAGATCATTATGTTTTTATGATGTTAATCTATTTATGATTTTATGACTTTGTTTTATTTTATTTTGATCTATGTGAAGCACTTTGTGATTCTATGTCTGTGATAAGTGCTATATAAATAAAATTTACTTTCTTACTCAATGAACTGTAGCTCATGCAGCCCCAATCCATGACACTTACAATTCCATGCTTGACTGTGGGTAAGGTATTGTCTTTGTACTCCACTTCGTTGTCTGTTTTTGTTTCTCTCATCCGATCACAGGACAAACGGCCTGCATTTGTACAGCGCCTTCTTCGGGTTCTACAACCCCACAAGGTGCTTCACAACACAGTCAGTCATTCACCCATTCACATACTGGTGGCGATCAGCTACGACGTAGCCACAGCCATCCTGGGGTGCACAGACAGAGGCAAGGCCTGCAGAACACGTGCTACCAGGCCCATCCAACTACCAGCAGGCAAGGCGGGTTAAGTGCCCAAGGATACAACAGCAGCATTCTCTGGTGGGAACTGGGATCGAACCTGCAACCTTCTGATTACTCAGCAACCCGCTCTACCTCCTAGCTACTGCTGTCTCAGTTCCAGTTGTATAGGTCCACTTATACAGGTCCTCATCTGCTTGTTTTCAGTAGACTGTTTTCAGGCTTTCATGTGGATCATTTTTAGTAGAAGCTTTTGTTGGGTTTTTTTTTTTTTCATTGAATCCAGCTGCAGTTGCTTCACAGCTTTTTTGGGAAGACCAGTTAGGAGACCATTGCAGTATTCGAGCCACCTAGATGTAAAAGCATGAATGAGTTTCTCTAAGTCTGGTCTGGACACGACAACATTTGTCAAAGAAAACATTTGTCTTATGGAGCTAAAACCACAATGGGGTCAAACGAGTCAGCATTGGGAGTTTTCTGAATCACGAGAGCTCAGAGACAAAAAAGGATTCAGATTGGAAGCAGACCTAATTATCATCCTATTGCACTTTTAAGTACAACTTTAATATGTTTTTTTTTTTGTGTGTGTGTTTTAACTTTCTGTGGGTTTGTAATTATTTCTAAATATGTTTGTCAGGTGGTAGAGATCACGTCCCATTCAGTCGCTGACCATACACTCACCCAACATAAGCTCCCATCTTACCAGGCAAACGCTCAGCCATTGATGCTTTCTCTTCTCCATCCAAGGTCCTTGTATTCTCACACACCACCAAATCGTCAGCGTGCCATGCAGACCCTGGCTGCCACTGTGCTGCGCTGCCAGCCAACTGGCGCCCGGTCCTGTCAGATACCCGCTCGTAGCTTGTGAAGCAACATGCCTATCTGTGATCAACCCAGCGCGAACTGAATCCGTGTTTGGGTTTGCTCACACACTACAACCTTATCCTGTGGTCACGATTCCTCCTCTTAGGAGTCATGATATTTACCAGGAACTCTGTTAGCCAACTGTAAAGTGGGTAGCTGATATGCTAGCACTGGTGTGTGCTTCCAACACATTTCCTGCATGTTTTAGATCACGAGCACAGCTGATTTGTTTGATTTAGTGACAAATTACTTCTATAGAAGCTAATGAAGGCTGAGGAGACATTTCAGCTGTTAGATTAAAGGTGCATTATGTAGAAATGAAGTAAAAATGACGTCTTGTGGTAAAATTTGGTTACTGCAACGACTTAAAACTACTCTGGAGCTTTTTGCCGGCCATCGTCAAATTACAGTTGTCAGCACTGCAGTATTAGCTCACAGAAGATATGACAACCTCACACTCACTGATGGTAAACAGTAGTCATTAGTTACGTCCCCCCTTCCTTTGTTTTGAAAGGAGAAAAATTTATCTGAAATATGTTTCAGTATAACCTTCCTTCCAAAATGACTGAAACATTACTCTTTTGGGATTTTCTCACCGTAAAATTCTCGCTATATTCCAACAAACTTCACCTTTAAAGTGTTAAAAACGAGCGCGCAGCAAGGAGAGTACAGTTTAGATGTTTTTTTTAAAGAAAAGCTCATATTTCTTTCTGAATAAAGCAGCATAAATGTGAAAACTGCAATTTATTTATAGTGTCCTCCAGTGAAATTGAGTCCGACATTCCTGCTTCTTATAAATACTTCTAACACCAGCCATGAATATAAATGTCAGGATCTGGGGTGAGTCAGCACCATTCTGTTCATTGTGCTTCAGTCTCTGCAGGTGGGCGGTTCCTGAGAGCAGCCAGCTGCAGGCTATCTCAAATCAACCGGTCCAGTGTTTATAAGGAGTGCCGGATGATTACTCACTTTTGGGTTGCTCTTGCCATCTTAGTGTACTTTATACTTTACTGTAGTATTTTGCATTGTGCTCACTCGCAGTAGTAAGTGTTTTAGTATGTACTTTGCCTTGTCATCACCAGGAACTTTCACCACAAGATAACTCAGCAATAAACTGGATTTCACTTCAGAGCCTGATCTCGCTCTCCAACTGGACCGACCTGCTCTCCCACCGCTCACCTCCCTTGGATTTTGGATTACCACAGACGGAGCGCAACCCAGTCCTGTCTACCCTCCCAAGATCTTGGATTTCAGTTCTACAGTAAGAACCTCAGAAACTCAGTCCTCCTAGTTTTATTCCACTCTATCCAAACACCGACCAGTGTTTGTCTCAGCAGACCCAGCCCCGGAGCTGTGCTCAGCATCACCTGGCGGTGCACCTTTAGTTCACTTTCCAAATAAAACATTTTATTTTTTCTTACCTACGTCTCTCAGTGTGATTCTGCATGTCTTGGGTCAGGAAACTCCCCACAGTCATGACAATAAAGGCTAAAATAAAGGTAAGAAATAACAAAAACAATGAGAACTAGTAAAACAAATTCCTCAAAACAAATTTCTTTTTTCCATTTAGATTTTTATTCATCATTGGCACACAACAGCATAACTAAAAACCACAAACGCATACATCCAAACTAAAATAAGAATTGACCAAATTGGGAAGAAAATGAGGAAATTACCAACATAAAATAGATAAGATGTCTCATCATTTCCCCTGATATTAATTTCTCATGAACAAACTGAATTTGCATCATCAAAAGCATCATTGTGCTTTCAGTGTTCTAGTAACAAACACTATAAATGCTGTGTATACATGTCTGTTTTTCTGCAATCAGAGTGAGGCAATAGCACATCCTTGAGGTGAGAGGGTTGATTCTGCAGCCTTTCAGTTATCAGCCCTAAACAATGCAGCCACTTCATCTGCTGCTCAGACTGAAAGGCTGCGATCAAAGGAAAACACTACGCAGCTCACGATGACAGGCACGAGCAACTAAAGGCCTTGTGCATGTTTGTTGTTTTTACCAAGAGCACATAGGTCCACTTCACCACCAATCTTAAAATCACACCAACATCAGATGCATTCAGATTTTAAAGGGTGGCTGATCTCAATGAGCTACTTGTCTCTGAACTGTGACTGACACTTAAGGTGCAGCTTGATTGGACTCCAAGGACAAAGGAAAATGTACCAATATGTGAAGGAGCTGCTGTGAAGGTGACGTAAAGGTTATTGTTCAGTTCTAACTATGTGGTTTCTTTTTGGTGAGATTAACGGGATTTGATCAAAGCAGTTACTTAAGTGGTTAAAACACTGGAGTTCTGCATCAGGAAAGGCTGTTTCTTCTTACACAACATTACATAATTTGTCATGTCAATATTTTCAGCTAAGATGAAACATCGAAAAGCAAATATACACTCATGTGTAGTGCTACAAGGCTGGATCACATTTTTTCATTCCAAACTGCTGTAAGTCTTCATGTCAACGATTCATTAAGGTTTTGGAAGTATCCCACAAGGTTCTGGTCCATACTGACATGACAGCAGCACATACAGTACCTTGCAAAATATGTATACCCCTTGAACTTGTACACATTTTGACACCTTGCAACTGAAAAATGAAATGTTCTTATAAAGGCTTTTGGTGATGGACCAACACCAGCGCATAACTGGTGTGACCAAAGCCTACTGGTTGTGCACCACCAGGCTAAAGACCAAAGGTGACAGATCATTTGCTGCTGTGGCGCCCGGACTCTGGACCTCTCTCCCCCTGAGCCGGAGATCAGTGGACTCAGTGGTGTCCTTCAAAATCAGCTGAAGACTCACTTGTTCAAGCTGGCTTTTGCATGACCTTCATCACCCTCTCCTTATTCAGCTCCTATTCTACCCTTCCCGGGATCCACTGATGTCCCTCTTTCCTATTTATTTTCCCTTTCCTTGCATTTTTTTATTATATTTTTTTATCTCATTTTATACATATTTTTAATCATTTTTAAAATCATTTTTATATTTATACGTTTTTGTGAAGCACCTTGTGATCTTGAGAGCTATAAAAGATCATTTTCTCTCTTTCCTTCCTTTTCATCTTTACTGTGAAGTGGAATTAAAACGATAGTTTTCAACATTTTATGGAATGGGTACACCATTGCACATTGCAATGGGGCATTCTAATGGAAAACCAGCTAAGGAATACAAGATTCTGTCTTCAGAACAAGAAACTCTCACTCAGCATCAGTGAGGGATGGGAAAAAGCCAGGCAATGGGCACATGATCCCTACACTGACACATGACCAGATAATGCTGGATGACTGACATGGAACAGGTGTGTATTTACCCAGAGCACGATTAATGATGGCATGGAAAGTATGCTTGGACATGAAAGTCTCAGACTATGACACTGGTCTCATGCCTAGATTACGACACCAGCATTCCAACCTTGCTGTTTAAGCATTTAATGGAAGAGCCTAGGATGTGGTCTGATCAGGAAGACTGTGTGCTGATGTTGTATGTTGAGTGGTGAGGGTGCAGGAGACCGTATCCAGAAGAGAATGACCTATTTGATCAGCAGCATCATGATTGCCTTCGACTTATATGAAGTTTTCCTAATTTACCCCGTCCAGTATGTTCCAATAGGTCACGTGGTTTGTAAAGACCCTATCTGCGTCCTGAGTGAAAGAGGCATTAGCAGGTAAGCTACCAACTTGCACTTGAATGCTGAAAAGCATCTAGAGAAAATTTGCTGGTTTTTAAAACATGCAGTTGTCGCATTGAGAGGATGGTTTGGACCCAAAATGCAGTAACCCAGGATGACACGAGGCAGAAGTGGATATGAACTAAAAATCCTTTTATTTTAGGAGGCTGGGCATAAATCCAAAGGCGAATGCTGGCAAAAAAGGCAAAACAGAAGCTCTTTCATGAGCAAGATCAGGAGAACACACGAAATGGACAAAACACTGACAATGACAATGGACCGACAAGACACAGAGACAAGACAGGGCTTAAATACACTGGGGCATAATGGGAGGCCGATGAGCTGCAGGTGTGTGGAGTGTGGGGGGAGTACCAGGTAAAAGCAATGACTAATCAGAGAAGAAACTAACTTGACCTAAGAGTGAACCTAAAAACAGAAAAGCAACCATATAACTAAAATTCTAAAGGGAAGGAGAACTACAAAAACCGGTGGGACAAAACATATTAAAGAAACTAATAAAAATGAAAAGCTGAAACTATAAACACTGCAGAGGGATGACTGGCTGCAGAGGGGTTACTGGAGAAGACTAAAGGAACACAGGAGACACATAAATGAGATGCAGACAAAGGACACATGAGGGCGCTATGAAACACAAAAGGAGAACCTGGAGTGGGAACTGGAGGGGCTGGGGAACAAAGAGACACAAAACATGACAGCAGTTTGTTTTAGATGCATGTTTCAGACCCACGCTCCTTTATTTTTCACCAGATAGACAGTTAAATCATCAGTATTCTGACTCTACTAGCAAACAGTCTCATTCACATTCTGAAGATTTTATCTTTAATGGTATTTGTCCTGGCGTGTGTATTTAAATATTGTGTGCAAGTGTGTGTTACTGAGCTTTAAACAGCCATACTGCACTCTAAAGCCCAATACAATTCTGGCTATAGCCAACTGTTTATTTTTTGTGATTACAGACAACCAATATAAGTAATGCCACAAAAGATCCTATAGTCACTAGGGATGATTGGTATTGGCTTTTCCACCAATATTCGATGTACCCATGTTGTCTGACCCTAAGTTATGATACAGATATAAACCGATATGGATGTATGCAGTGTACCACTCTCATTAAGAGAAAAAGTTCAGCATTTTAGATAACTAACATCACATATCTCCTAACATGCATACTTAAATTTCAAACGTTTTCTGTGCAAAATGACAACTCCTTCAATTTAAGTTAGTCATAAGAAACGTGTTAGCGTTCAGAGCAGCTGGATCTCATTTTCCCTAAGCTAAGATGTGTTTATTAGTTAATAATGTATTTTGTTCTGTACATTGCAGTTACAGTGACAAAACATTTATAAATATCTTCAGATATGAATGGATGAAGATTCTTGTTTTTGTTTTGCTTGTTTGTTAGCCGCTAGCTAGCTACACACAGCTACATGATGTGAGGACAGTGTGTGTTGACTGCACTGGGCAAAATTCTACCTCAACAATTGTGCCAAATAAACTAAAGTATCTGAAAAACTTTACCTCTGTACTATGATATGTTAAGAGAGAGTAGATGTAGCTGAAGACCTTGATGTATAGTATGTGTATGGTATGTAAAAGCTGTCATTTAAAGACTGAAAACCGATACTGATATTTTCCAATATTAAATTTAAATGATGATATCAGCCAATAATTAATATCGACTCATAATATGAAACTTCCCTAATAAATACACATTTTGTGATGGGTTCCTTTTCCCATATATTCAAAACGTGGGAATTAGGTAATAATGGGCTTCATATTCAGTTAGCTTTTAGCACGCATGAACATGTAGCGTTATGAATATGCCATTTCTGCCCTTAACAGCTGCCCTTTGACACAGTGACAGTGTGCATAAATTGCCATGGTCGTGCGCTTGCTTCTGATGTTTACATTCCAGCAAAGAAGACAGAAGAAGGACGAAGAACGCTTTTCATTAGTTAATCAAAGAACTTTATTTCTAATAAGCTAATCAAAACAACTGTTGGTCAATAATAATCAGGTGACTGATCTGTGAAATCACAATGTATGATTTATGTGTTTAATGAATAACAGGACTTGGGCTAACTGAGCTAGACATTCTGATCCACATAAGGTAAACACATGACACATTGTTCACTCATCCAGTCAGAACTTCCTCTCTGATGCGTGGCAGAGCCCTGTGGTGTTTAGTTAATCTGTCCACTCTGATTCGTTAAGAATCAAAAACAACTAAGCCTAATAAAACAGAACAACGCCATTTTAAGTTAGTTCAACGCACGCTCAACGGAGTTCTAACCAAGTACTCAACCAGCTCTCAAATCCATCCGATGTCCATCATCGCTAAGTGAAGTACAGACTGGCCAGCTGTATTTTTCTACTTTTAAGCTGAGAACTGTCAAGCTGGAAATTCTGTCGTTTTATCAACAAGACGACGGTTCCTTCAGAATAAAAGCTGAACTCTCTGACCCAAAAAGGGGGGTCTCTACGTGACGCTGGAAACCTGCCGTTGTACCGGGAGACGATCCTCAGACTGGTTTGTCGTGCTGCTGACGCTGTTTCAC